AAAAAAAAAAAAAAAAAAAAAAAAAAAAAAAAAAAAAAAAAAAGAGGAGGGTGGGTGGAATATGGGAGAGGTGCTAGCTGCAGAAGTAGCAGGATAAAATCTAGCAAAGAAGTGGGATGGCAAATGACAGCAAGGTAAGAAAGAGGGGGAGTGAACAAGAGTGTGGGAGATAGGGCAGCAGCGACAGAAAAACTGAGTGTAAGGAGCTGAGAGATCCGCCTGCAGTTAAAGGACGAGCAAATATAGGAAATGCCTCAAAGCCTCCCCCTCCTCCGTTTCAAGTGATTGGCATGACTAGGCTGTAAAACCACTAGTCCCCGTTACCAGATTCGGCAGGTCCGGGGATAGTCTTCGTTCCTTGATATGACTCCCATGGGCAGCACGAAGGGCTGGGAAGCTGGTGCCTTGTCCTGGGTCATCCCCTCTGCCCCTGCTGCAGTCTCTTCCCCCTCGGCACCTTCTCCTCCCAGGGGCCTCGCAGCAGGCTGGGAGGCAGCCTGCTGGCAGCATTCCTCTTCCTCCTGCCGGTGTTCCTGCTCCTGCTCCTCCCGACGTATCTGCTCCTGGACCTCCAGGACGATGCGCGAGAGCTCGCTGAAGTCGCGAAGGTTCTCGATGTCGGGTAGCTGCAGAGGATGTGCCAGGTCGATCTCCACAGTCTGCTGCCCAGCTGGGATGTTGGGATCTCCCTGGAGACAGGAAGGAACAGCACTGCTGCAGAGGCAGGGTGCTACAGAGTCCAGACCTGTGTCCTCCTCAAGTCCATCATCTGACTTCTACACAGTTCACCCTATTTTACAATCACCAAGTTGGCAACAGAAAAAAAAAAAAAAATCCCCTCGGACCTTGTTCATTGTTCCCTGAGCTGTCTACGTCACTTCCTTCCCCCCTCACAGAAACAGAATTTTAAATCAGAAGCTACAAGCCAGGCTGTGCTTGCAAGGGTGAACAAAAGTCAAAGCTGCAACTGCATTTTGTCGGAATCCCTCCCTGCAGAGACAGGAGCTGGCTAGCCTGGCTTCAGTGAAGAGCTGCCAACATTTGGTACCTGCTCCTTGGATACATGCGAGTCATCTCCAGTAACCTGCTACCAGCTGCTCACAGAAAACAGCTGGAAGGGAGAGAAAAGGAGCGGGGAGCCAGGTGGCATCATGAGAAACTCTGCAGAGTAGGTTCTAGCTACTCTGTATGTGTTAAGATTCACCTGATGGTTCCCACAAGGAACAGGGTCTGGGGTGGCAACAACTGACTACCTCCCAGACAGAGATCTCTCCTACAGATCCAGGGCATCGAGAATACTTTAACAAGCATCTGAGAGAAAGGAAAATGCACTCACAGTGATTTTAGTCCCCTTTGCTTTCTTTCCATGAAAGCTCAACATGACAATCTCCAGCCCATGGCTCCCGTACGTTCCTTTGAAGAGACCTGGCTTTATAAGGTCATCAGGGCTGCTAGGAGGGAGGTAGATGCGTCGGTATGTCAAGCAGTTGCTGCACAAAACCCAAAAGGTTAGAGAGGTTAAGAGAAAATCCCTCGACATGAGGAATGTGTTTGCAGTCTGCTCCTCCCGGCAGCTTTGGGATGTTGTCAAGAGAGAAGCAGAATCTGTATTTTCAGCAATACTAAGAAACTTAACAGGTTTCACTTGAGACATATGCAAGCACTTCCCTCCCTTCACTTCTCTCTGCCAGTCCTCGACAGCAGACCAGGAGGCTCCTGCAGCAAGGTCACAGTAAACCTCCTCGCTCCTTGGGATTTCCAGAGAATCGAAGAGTGAAGCGTGTTTAAACATCTGCCACAGTGAGGTGGCTGCTATTAGAAGTTTAGAGTGATGGTTAAAACCCCCCCAGGTTCCTCAGGAACTGTCTGATTTCTGCCTAGTACACTACAATGCTTACTAATATGAGTAATGAGCAGATAGCTCCTTGGGATCACAGGTATCTGCTCTGTCTTCAAATTAAACACAGTTAAAATACTCAAAACCACCTTACTGTGCATAGTGATTGGAAAAAGCTTGTTAAAAAGCTTATTAAAAAGCTTATTATGACTGGTGTCACCGCATCTCATTTCTCTGTACAACTGGAAAGGACTGTGCTTCACTATCTTTGCACAGAGCCTGCGGAGACAGAACATTCCTCCGGCTGTTAAAGCCCATGGCAAGCACCCCATCTTCAGAACAAATGATCCAGTGTGCTCTTGAAGTTGCAGCAGACTCAGTACCTAGAAAGAGCTGGTGCCCTTACTCATATTGGCTGGTGTAGATGAACTTCATCAAGATGAGCTCTTGCATGTGTTCGTGGAAGATGTCTTCCAGAGTCCGACCCCACTCTTCCCTTAGCCACGTCCGGAATTCCTGCAGCACAAGGAGAAGAGAAAAGGGGGAAGATAAAGGCATTTCATTTGCAATAGCGATGTACTCTGACATGACTTCACCTCATCAGCACGATTCACTCTGCCAAAGACTGAGGATAGTGGCTGGATTTGGGAACAAGCACAGAGCTGGCTTGGAAATACGCTTAACAAGCAGGGATAATGGTAACGGCCCTACACCTGCCAGACTCCACAGAATAAACATGCTCCCCATCAAATAAATGACAGGTAGAACCAATATGCCTCCTCAGAATAAAAGCATCACCTGTTACTACAAAGTAGCTGGTCTACTATTTCTTTACGTCCTGACTTAACTTGCAGTAACTCATTTTGTGGGCCCATAAGCTGACTTCTGTGCCCTATCCTGGCATGTTAAACAGAAAAGCAGAAGCCTTTGAAAGGCACTGAAGATTTAGGAAGTTAAATCCCGCTGATTTAATACTGATGAATCTAAATCCAAAGGGTGCTTTGAAAACATCTCCTGAAGTACCTCTACACCAGCTGACAAGTTAATACCCCACCCTGGGTTAGCGCGATAACAGCTTACACTAAGATAGCAGCCTACCAAGTGATATTCCAAACCTGCTTGCTTTATCTTCTAAAGCCAGATCCTCCAATTACCATAATGCCACGCACACTTAACGTAGTGATTTGAAAGTATTAAGACATTTCTCATCTGCTACAGAACCAGAAAACACTTAACTAAACCTTTCACCCAGCTGTTTCCCATTAGTAGACAGACATTTTAAAGCATTTGTTAGAAGTAACTGAAGTATCGGATCTGTCACGTTTAACTAGCTAGTGGCAAACACCACTACCTGGAACCGGTATTAGCTGAAGGTTTTCATCCTGACATTTATACCTGCACCTTAAAAAAAAAATGTAGTTTGAGTCCGGGATCTGCCTTGCTGGGTGTACCTGACACAGACACAGGATAAACAACCAAATAAAGCTTTTAATCCATCGACCAAGATGACAAGCAGTAGAAAGGTGCCCTGCTGACAAGCAGGTATTCAAATGCAGTACTCAAATATTAGGCCTGTGCCCGAAAGATCTTAATGGTACAGACAGCAACGCCACAGAGATCAGCCTCTGGTGAGCGCTGCATGGCTCACAATGCATGTTGCTGTCTGTCTTTGGACAGGCCTGCTGTCAAACGGGAACAGTGTCACAGCACAGGAAGACAAAGGGTGTTGAGGCTCAGAGAGCACCCTGCCACAGAGAACTGCCCAAAACAGCTTTTGCTCGACAGGATGGACGTTAACAGCCTGCTCCAACACCCTGCTACGCACTGAGGTGAGGCACGGGCTCTCCACTCAGCCATTCTGTGGGTGCAACGCTGCACCGATCCCATATACTGGATCCTCAGACCACACCGTGGCAAGCACAGAAGAGGTTCCCCAGGATCCTGCAATTATTCAAATGTGGCCGCTAAGTTTTGACTCATCACAGATCAATTATACTCCCTTAAAGAAGATCACAGTAAACCAGCCAAAGCTACCAGTCTGGATTTTCAGGTATGTGCAGAAATGAAAGGCAAAAGACAACCTCCCAGACCCCAACATTCGTGAGGAGCTTAGGTAAGAGAGGAATGATTTATCTGTTATATATGTTAACACCTTAATGCAAACTCTTGGCAAAGCACTCTTACCTCTTGCCTTCCCCCTGACATCCGATGGTGATCTGTCTGGTTGCATTTCGTGGAGAACTCATCCTTCTTTACAATCTGTAGTTACCGTGGAGGAGAATAACCGGTTACAGACCTGTTCAGATGATGTAACTAAGACTGCTTAGAAAAAATGCTTTACACAATAAAAGTTACTGAATTTGCTACAACAGAGAAATCATTAAGGGATAACAAGTGAAACAGCTACAGAATAGAGAAATAAAAGCAATAAAACCCCAATGAATTCTAATGAAAGATACTAGCTTTAATTTGCTTCTTCAGTTAAGCTTCCTTCTTCAAAGAAAAGGAAACCACCTCTCAGGAAGCTTTTCAAAGCATCCAGCATACTGAATGGATGCTACATCACCTTCTCAAGGTCTCGGAGATGAGAACAGGTCTGTGTGTCTGCTCGGACACATTCACCAGCTGCACGAGGCCATTTTACACACCCTTTCCCCCAGCCTGTACACATACTGGTGCTCCCACCCTCTCACCGTGCTCCAGCCCAACAGAAGGCAGTATAGCAGCCTTGCTGTACTATTGCCAACAAACAAATTCAGAGTGGGGAGCAGCCCACACAACTTGTCAGACACATAATGAGAGTAAAGCTGGCATCCACACATACAACAAGGTGGGGAAAAGCCACATCCCTTCTATAAAATTTTCATACATTTTTTTTGATGAATCCGTTTTCAGAGCCAGTGTGCACACACACATCACACCTAGGAGAGGTGATGCTGAAAGCACCAGAGGAGCTCACCTGGATATGGCCGTTATGAGGTCCCTTATGACCATACATACACTCAACCGTTGCACATTTCCTCTCCATGAGATGAATCCTGAAGAGAGGTTTGAATCTCATCGGATCATCGACATGAGGGTCATGAGGTGGCAAGTACATCCACCCGATGATGAACAAACCATCTACCTGCAGAGGGATGGGAGACAAAGCACACCAGATCAGCCTTGCGTGCTTTCTGTTGAGTTTGCAGCAAACTACTCCAGGGTCTATTCTGCAACAGAGCAGGAGCTGTAGAACAGCCTGCTGCATTTCCAAAGTGCTTTTCAGCAATTAAACCAGACCATATGCACTCACAGCACACCCTTGGTGAAGAGGGAGAGGGTTTCTTTACAAGGTTTCCTGCACCACTGGAAAATTATCAGGCCTTTATTACTGCAAATGACTTTGTGACGGATGCTTGGTGTGCAGGATCCAGAGGGAGAGACTGCACTGAAGAGTTTGACTAGCTGTGTGGTCTCTAATTGGTTTGAGAGCTCATGCTGGTAGAGACCTGAATAGACTATTTCTGCTCCTCATGACTACCCGTGCCTTTTGGACAAGGAATTATTTGGCTCTGTTACTCACAGACAGCATAGGAAGCAACAATCTCCTCTGCTGAGAGGTACAAGTGCCAGCACTCTTCCTGCACACCTAACAGAATCCTTCCCCTCAAGCTCTGTAACTCCAGAGAAAGGATATTTTCTAAACAGAGAGATTTGAGACAAGAGCAGAGCAGCACCACAGAGGCATACTTGTCTTTATAAGGTCACAATATCACATTAAGTATTGTTGCACTTGGATGCACTCTTACACCAGTTCATGGAACAGAATCTTGCAAAACCCAAAGGCCTCGTGATTTGTTATGCTTCAACATGTCAGCTATTGAATCTCAGTGCAAAGAACAAGGGCTTCAGGCAAACTTCTGGCCCAGCTCTCACCAATACAAAGTCAAATGTTGTTCATTAACTGCTCTCCCCAGCAGCACAAGAGCTGCCAAGGCTCCACAGGTCTTGCACCAGTCACACATACCAGTATCACTTTATCTGATGCATTAGACACGGCTGGTGAAAAGTATGGCAAGCTACAAGAAGGAGAGGTGCATGAACACAAGTGCAAAACGTTCAGCTGCAGGCAAAGATAATGCATAAAGATAGTGCTAAACCTCTGCTGTACTCATGCACGAGGAACGGACTCCTGTGCCAGCCACTGGAATATCAGCATTAAACTCTAAACCAAGCCTTTCCCTGAGAGGTTGCTCGTGTTTTACACGTACTCCTGTAGCTGTTTGAAATACAGCTGAAAAAACAAAAGGACTGTCTGGAGAAAGGTGGTGATGATGGGAAGATCCAAGAAGCAATCTCCAGGTACTAATCATTGGCCTGAGGGCTGCCTGTTCAGGCCTCTCAATAGCACAGAGATGGGAACCAGGTCTAGAAAGTGGCACGGAGAGAGTCATCAGCCCTGGACACCACAGCCCCAGAATGAGGTACTCACCACCACGTTGAGCAGTCCCCCATAGGGCCCGATGTCCGGCTGCCATAACCCCAGGATGTGTCGGTATCGGTGCAGCACTAGGGAACAGTAAGACACAGAAGTGAGCACATTAAACTAAAGGATTGAGATTTTGGAGAAAAGAAAGCAAAAGGAAGACTGCAACCAGACTGCACACAACCCTGACCACTACCACCCACAACTGCCTTTACTAAGGAAGAAAAAACTGGTTACGCCCCACCACAGCCAGGCAGTTCTGAACTCCCATGAGCTCACACAGATTTATGTTGCTCTCTACAGCCCTGCTCCTGGCCCAGTGCAGGAACAGGAGTTAAGTTTCCAGGACTTTACACAACCAGATACTTCACCAGAAATTCCCAGAAAACTTTTGCAACATGGTCCCGTTAATGCAAATCACATGATATACCCAGAGCTAACCAAAAAAAAAAAAAAAAAAAAAAAAAAGACTGCAAAGCAACAGAAAATAAGGAAGGGCAGAAAGGCAGTAAGGAACAGGGAAATTTGAATATTTTTAAAGAATTTCCCTGCCTTGTGTAGACAAACTTGTCTCTGGAGTTAAGCATCCTTAAAAACAGCCACCGAGAGAGCACGGGCAAAGCGCACGGACCATGCCAGCTCAGGAGATCTGGTGCTGTTACCAGGTCAGTAACAGCCTTTAAAACTCTAAGTAAGCAGCTACATCTCAGCAGTGCCCAAAAGCTGCTTCAAAGTCCCCTCAAAGCCTACTGCACCAGGTGAGGCTTCTCCGCGTCTCATCTCAGAGCTAGGTACACTTCCAATCCCACCAGAATTGAAGACAAGGAGGAAAGTTTTCAGCAAGCAGGTGAAAAATGCCTGTTACAGACCAATCTTAAATCTCCTCTCCTGAGGAAAGCTTAGAGGTGCTACTTGCCTCCAATCCTTGCGCAGTCAGCCGTAAATTTTGTCGCTGTAATTTCCTGACATGACCAGTAACCTTCATGTGAAGACATTACACACAATCTGGCATTTTGGGCAGAAACAACAGGATGCAGATTATTTCTATGAAGATGGCAAGATGATACTACGATGCTCACGGCCAACTCAGAAGGCCACAATAACACGCTTTAACCTACAGGACTGGCCTGAATAATGGTTTTTGCTTTGCATCAATTCACAGGAAGAATTGTGTTTCAGTGCAGCTGTTACAATAGCTTTCTTTCATGAACTACTTCAGACAGCAAGAACTATAGGAGTGGTTTTATTCCACCAAAGCAGAGAACTTCCACAGAAGTTTAGGACAGCAGGGAGGGTTGTCCAGAGATGCTGCCAACTGGCCTGGAGGAGCCTTTTTCCTGTGCAGTAAACAATTTAAGATTGATGGCCTGGTTTCACCCAGTGAACCAAGTGCAGCACAAGCAGCACTAAGGCAAGCAAGCAAACCACATTCCCAGTCTTCTCGTCTCAGTGCAGTAATTACATATTAATAAATGGTATGTGCATAAGCCGCCCCACCCACCACAATCTGCCTTCTACCCTGTCTGGCATGGAGATGATAAAACTCAGCTTGCTGCTTTTTAAAATTTATTTTTAGGACAGAAAACTTGATGCTAAGCTAACCAAGAGTGATGAGGATGTCCCTCCTCCCCCAGCTCCTGTGAGAAGTGCTTTCAGAGCTGCAGCTACAATTGATGGACTTTTCAACAGTGTGCTAAGTGTCTGCTTGACAAGGCAACCCTTCCACTCCAAAACACACGCCTGTCGAGAGCAGTTTGTGTGCTCGCTTTGAGTACACAGCCGGCTCCAGCCGCAGCTCGGCTCGCCAGGAGCCACGGCAGTTCAGGGAATGTGACTGAGTCACAGACAGAGCCTGCTTCACCATCTGCCCCCACCACCCCAAAACCTGGGGCTGCAAAGGAGGGAAGAGGCCAAAAAAAAAAAAACCAAAACCCATTCACCCCCAGAAAAATCCTATCCACTGGATAACAGCTTCTGTGCATCCCTTGCCTCACTACTGTGGGCAGCTCTTCTTTTTGAATTTTTTAAAACCCCAGTTGTTTGACACCACAGATGAGGTGATGGGAAACAGGCTGTAGCGTGAGCAGTGCTTCACCCTCCCTACACACCAACGGACAAGTCCTCCCTCTCGCTTGCTCAGGGTGCTGTGGACTCCTCCTCCTCCCATTCTTTCAGGAAAGGAAGTTACTGGGGAAAATGCTGGTTCTTGATCAAAAGCCCAAACAAGCCTCAAAGCAAAAGCACAGCTCCATTTTCAAGCCTGGGGTGTCTCTGGGCTCCAGAGCCAGCAGCTATATTAATGGAAGAGAAAACCTGAGGAATTCCAGCTCTGGCTCTTCCTGACAGGAGACAGGATGGGTCTGACAGTTGTTTCCCTTCCCGTTCCTCGAAAGAGAACAGCACTTGGGTCTTTCTCCAAGGTTTTCCTCTTCTATGCACACTGCCTATTTTTCTCAATCCTGAAGGAGCCTCTTGCCTAATCAAAATTCTGAGCCCACATTCTGCCAAATGGAGCAAAAATAAATCCACTGGATGCTTCAGTACAACCCCCACCCAGCCTGGATATTACTCACGTTGCCACAAGCAGCCCTGCACGCTCTTCAGAGGGAAAGGCAGCTGGAATCCACCTGGGGATGGGCTAGGAAAAGCAGTGAATGCCCAAGCTCCCACCCAGAGAAGGCTGCCTGGGAAAGGACTCATGCCTGTGCTCTTTGTCGGAGTCAGACGCAGCACAAGGAAGTGACACTGAGCAAATGCCCAGCGATCCAAGCGAGCACCACAGCACTGGCACACCACGGACGCCGTTGGGACAAAGGGACAAGTTACAACCCCAGAATGGGTTGTTAAAAGAGGAGGAGAGCAGACTGCTATCAGATGTTACTGTTTTAACTAATCTTATCGCATTACCTGTGTTCAGCTTGGATAGCACAGGCAGAGAAATGCAAAAACCTAAGAGGGGAGCTCGCAGTGAAATCTGCGACCTCTAAAGCAGAGGTAGCTCACTTTGAGTGGAAAAGACCTGATCCACTACAACTCGCTGGGATTCTCAGGATGCAGCAAGATATCTGTAAGCAAAATGAGTTGGAAAAATGTAAGCAGTTACTGCCCCCCAGCTGGTAGTAACTGACCTGCTAGTGGAAGGAGCTCAGTGTCAGCCAGGCTAGCTTAAAACCCTGGGGAAAGTGATCTGAGCTGACCCGGCTAATGATGCATAAATATGAATTAGGGAGCACAGACACGGTAAATTCTGGCAACAGGGTTGCAAGCAGTTAGCAGACAGGAGGGGAAAACAGGGGAAACAGGCAATCGCATCTTAAACCACACTGACTTTTCCCCAAGTAACATAACAGACCCCTAGAGAAAAGGGGCATGAGACATCAGAAGTTTGGGGCTGCAGCTGAAGAATTAACAACTGAGGGAACAGCACAAAATGCCATTTGAGAGCCACCACAAAAGGCACATTTGGAGCAAACACCCAGGTAGCAATCTACAAAGAAGTCCCTCGTCCTGAGGGACAGCTCAGATGTGCCTCTCCTTCCCATCCAGCTCCAGAACAAGGCTGGTGTTGACAGGCAGGACTGCCAAACCTAAAGTGTTCTACTGATTCCTGCCATAGCCCTGCTGCTGCTTGTCTGTCATAACTCACATTAAAGACACCATCTTCTCCAGTGTGGCCTCTGCTCGAGTGCTTTCTTTAGCACAGGTAAGTCTGCAACATCCATTCTGCTCATTAGTGTGTGCAAAAAACTGCATTGCCAAGCACCAGTGAGTTAGTAACTTGAGTCTGCAAAACTCCGCAGACCCAAAGGGGCATTAGATACAGCTCAACACCCTCTCCAAATACCAAGCAGTACTGGCTTCCTTAATTCCTGTAAACTAATCAGTATCTCCCCTCAACTCCTGCAAAGAGTAAGCGTTAAACCCCAGTGTTTTCCTGTTCTTTCTTCAAGACAACATTAAGAGGGGAGGAACAATTTATCCAGAGCAGCTTCTTGACTAAGGAAGGCAAATCACAATCTCTGAAAACACCAACAGAACATTTCCTAGAGAGGGAGATGGTGGTCAAAAGGATCCACTGCTCAGGGAGGGGAATTAGTATGGGAACCCTCAGCCTTTTTCTCTGGGAAGGGCTGTGGATGTGAATGCAGCTCATCTGAATCAAGACAAAGATTTTTGCTGGCGCAGAGCTTATTTAAACTTGCTTTTGGGAGCCCTCACCAGGATATCTGAATACTTCCTTCTGAGGGAGGAGCAATCCATGAAGAACAGAGCGAGTGCTCCCCTACTGTGAACAGAGACCCTCCTTTTTGCACCCAGTCAGGACCATTTTCTAACTCAAAGCACTTCAAAAGGCAACCAACAAACCTCACCGCCTGCCCTGCTCACACTGTCACCCTAAAGGGTCAGAACACTCCACTAATGCACAACAGAAAGAACTGACTAACCTGCACCCTCCATACTGTCCCAAGGTCCACCCCAAAATAATTTGCTTAAAGCAACGTCACACTCCATGCAGCATCTTGTGTGTGCTTAGTGCAGGAAGCATCAACCAGCAGGAGGTACGTACGGCAGGTGTAAACATCTCTGTACTCCATGTGCTCGTAGTCGGGAAGGATTTTCATAAAACGCCCCGACTTCACTCGTGGGTTTATACCTGAACAGACACAGCAGGGTAAGTACCAGCAAACTCTGCTCCCCTGTAACCAGCACGTAACAGTTCCATGAATCTGGACCAACCACGCAGGGAAGTCAAACTCTCTTTTGACTTGACTTCCAGTTGTGATGCACCATTGGTTTTCACCAGGCCCGGTCTCAGGTACACTCGGTTAGCAGGATTATTCACACAGAACTTGGCATGTTCAAGATTCCCACAGACAATATTTACAAATGGCATCCAGTGAATTCAAAGGGGAATCAGGGTCTTCCAAACTCTGTAGTGCGACTACAACAATCATTTCTATCTCAAGAAGACCACTTAGGCCAAGTAAATACAATGACAAGACTCAGGCCTTGGATTATTTAAGTTCAGTTCCCCGTTTCCCACACTACTACTTATGGGAGCACGTTCAGCAGATGGAAAAGTGCATGTGAGTCCTGCCAGTAACCCCAAATTAGCTCTTCTGCAATTAAATAATTTTATGGGACAGCAGAGAAAAATGGGATCACACCACCAGGAAACTCTTCCACTAAGTGTTTGCAACAGGGCAAACCGCTGAATCTGAGCAGGAGAGACAAGATGGTGCATCCCCAAAAGCCAGAAACGCCTGCCAAGTATTCTGACTTCAGAGTAACTGTTCCTAGTTAGGATTGCTGAATGGATACGGACGCAGTCCTAACACAGAAGTGCAATCAAACCTATCACAGAGGTGGTTCTCACACGTCAGGTGGGACTCTGCCAACAGAGGCTATGGATTCAGAAACTACTCTGCTGCAAAGGAAGACTGATAACAGACGTGTAAGATCTGTTGAGGGCTATTAAATCAACAAACTGCTTTAGATTCTGGAAATCCCTCAACCTGAAAACAGTCAGAAGCAGAGAAGTACTGAGGAAAGTTTCACACAGGCTTGCCCTCTTCTCAGTCTTCCCTGAGTGACTGCTCACAGCCGTAGCTGCGAGGTACAGGACTGGGCTAGAGACACACCATAAATCTGAGCCAGTAAGGCCATTTTTACATATAACTTGTGTATAAAAGCAGCACTAAATATCACTTTAATATATCTGAACCATGGAACTACTGTAGCACAAAAGACTACAGGTTATGAAGAGATGTTCTGCCATTTAAACCTGGTGATGCAGAATTAAGATCCGATGTGGTATGTGCCGTGTGGCTGTTACCACACCAGGGTCGTGCAGATACTGGACTGAATGGGAAGTAAGGGAGGCCTCAAGTGCTAACGAAACTTCTCTGGGGACATCTAAGTGCTGGCTCAGCATCACTCAGCCCTCTCACCCAGGAAAATTAGGCAGCTCCAGTCCTAGTGCACAAATAGGTAAAGAGGGACACTAGGTGATGAAATAATTAACCCATGGACCTTTGGCCAGTCTATTAAAGATGGGATTAAAACCCTTTCACCTGTTTTTCTTTCCAGCATTAAGATCAATGGTTGAGGTCATTGCTGCTTCAGGGTTCAGCAAATACAGAACATGTAGAAGCTGAGCCAGATTTTGGGTCTGTAAAGCCTACAGAGACCTCTCGTGATTGACCTCTCTGCTTCTGTTTCATAAAGCAGGACCTTCTCTGAACAGTCAGAAGCCATAGTTCCAGGTGCTGCAGGTTAAATTTTGGGTTTTATACTATGGACAAAATTTGTGGTGGGGAACTAAGACAATACAGCCTGGCAGTGCTGGTACGGGAGCTCTTGGGGGCTTCACGAATGTCTCGGCAACCAGCTCAGCTTCTGACTGCAAAGGGCAGGATCTGGTGTGAGGGCAGACAGCCCCACCATGGTGCCCAGCCCTCCAGTCAGTCCTTAGCCTGCCCTGGTTTCTCTCCTCTGACAATGGTTCCACCGCTCCCAGCTGCGGGACAGAAGATACGTATCTACCTTGCAGAAGACACTCTAAGGAGCAGGGTCCCAGTCCCACAGACATTCCTAAAACACACTGACACCTTCAGGAGCAGCCCAGAGGATCGCTCACTCCTTTACCTCCAGCACTTTCCCCACTGCCAGCACGTAACAGTGTCCTTTTGCTGAGATCTAGACTTAGCTACATTAAGGCTATGACAAAAATATCAGTTAATTCCTTAGCAAGATCTGAAAAGGCAAAACAGGATCGGATGCTTATTATAAATTACCTGCTCTTTGCCTGCCAAAGGATTGGGGGGCACAGACATTCCAATTCTTGGCATCTGCTTCGTATTAAATAAAACTCAAACAATGTCAACTTCACAGATGAAACCCCTGCCACGAGCAAGTAAGTCTGAATAACTTATGCCATCGAAGTGTAATAAATATTGAACATGTATATGCTTTCAAAACTGGTACTAAGCAAGGACATACAGATCTGTATCAGCTTTATCACTTACGTTTGGCATAAACATCTCGACAGGACACTCCTGTGATCTCCAATTTCCGCAAGTTTTCACAGACTCCATATTCTGCAATGACACAGATAATAATGTCAACTCTGGCACAATGGTGTTTGCTACCCAGGATCTTGATATCTGATGTTTGAGCAAAAATGAGATCTTATTAGGTGCATTCTTGCAAGCTGCCACATTAGTCCAAAAATCCAGAAAACTAGATGTAATTTCATTGCAGCCTGGGAATCTTAACACATTTTACAAGCAGTGCCTGCAACAAACACACCATAAGGAACACACAAACAGCAAAGTTGCAGATGCTTACACCTAGACCAGAAAGAATGTGAAATGTGAAAGACGTACTCATTCCAGCTGGGATTGTATGCCCGTTTAGATCAAATCATGGTTGTGTGTGGTAATTATCTACTCCCACCGAGATACCCAACAGGGAAAACTGCTTATTAGGATTCTAAAGAAAAGGTCACAGACTTTAAAAAGAATGAAATGGAGACATAAAACAGGCATCAGCATGTACAAATATGGTTACACTTGAAAGCAGATCAGATTGAGATGGGTCTGTTGTACACTCAAATGCCTTTGATTGCTTACAGAACACCCTGAAAACAAAGCAATCCAGAGATCTTCAAGGCAGCTTTGAAGCAGAAAATGAGATTCTCTCCTATCCTTTTCAGGAAGCCAATGGTGAACTTCTAAGAAACTTTAAAAAAAAACAGAAGCAAGTACTAACATCTCAAGGCAAAGAAATCCTTAGAAGACCAGAGGGAGGAAATGAGAGGAGGGAGATCCCAGAAAATCATCAGCAACAAAAAACAGCCTGCTGCAGTGAGCCTGACAGATCTCAGTATGGAAAACTACCCTCCTTGACATCAAAGACATCTATACCACAGATCAAACACCAGCTTTCCTTAGCAATACCAAACATCTGCCAGATATTTGATGCTAAAGTGCATTTGTGAAGACCCTTATCATATCATTAAACATGAAATTTATCCTCAGTCGAGCTTCCTTGAATTACCAATCTCCCGTGGCTGCCAAATACCACTACCTAATGCTGGTAACCTGCAGCAAACGGAGAATTCATTTTTCATAATCGAGGAAAGCAGAAGTCTCCCTGAACGAATTTAACCTCTTATTGTCTATAAATAGACTTGTGTACACAATGATAAAGCACACGCAAAGCTTACTGTCAGCCCACCTACGGGGAATACACTTTCTGTATACCACCACTTTGGGTAAGCAGCAAGTTCAATAAAGGTAAGAGTGGGCAGAAGGTACAACAAAGACACTGCCCTTCATTTAAAGACGCAGAGGTCAGTGGCAAAGTTCCTGCTGACTCCTGCAGCAAAAGCCAGAGGAAGCTCTAAGTGTTATTAAACACAAGGCGGGATGAGGAAGCACAATTAGCCAGAGAGCAGACAGACAAGCTTGCAGGAAAGTACATCCAGCCCAGCACAAACAAGCTATTTAGTGCTGGGCTACAGCCAGCTGACCCGCTGGAGCCATTCTGCAGAGTTGTGAAACCAGAGCCCGGCAGGAGGCTGGAAATTCAGACCCACCCTGCAAGTCACCCCACGTCTATCCCTCCAGCCAGAGCTACCAAGGCTTTCAACCACTGGCCTGCAAGTGTATACAAGTGGGTATGTGTTTGGTAATTACACCAAATGGATGGAGGGAACAGTATGTTTCCTCAGCTGATCAGAAAGTTAGGGATCTTTAGAAGATGACAGAACAGTGGGGTCATAGCCTGCTGTTTGGAAACGGCCAGCTCGTTCCATGTAAACAAATACTCACCTGGCCACAGAATCAGCAAGATACACCCTTTGCGCAGCAGGCATTGCAGCTAGATTAAATTCAGTGTCATTGAAGATATTTATACTGCATCAGAAAGGGAGGAGACATGCAGAGGATCCTGCCCAAATGGCATTTCTCCGTGTTGCTCTCTAACAGCAGTACTAGCACAGTGACGTTGTCTCTTCCTCCAGAAGCTGCTGATTTTTCACAAAGCGTTTTCCCTAGTAGGTCTGTAAATCACTTTGAGTGCACTCTCAGTGCCGGGCCACGGCAGATTCACTACCAGCAGGTATCTTGAAACAACAGAGTGAGGTGGGAAGTGATTTGATGTTAAAATTCTATCCCAAGTGCCCTTGATAACTGCAGTGAAATTTTATGAAAGCCAAATCACTACTAAAGGTGCATTTCCTAAGTGCTGTAGTTCAAATCTTTGCTGAAAAGACTGAAAGTTCTCCCAAGTAATAGCAAGCTCCTTTTAAAAAAAAAAAATATTTAGAAGTTTGATATTGCTACATGCCATCTGACATTAGACATCCAAGTCTTCCAAGAAAAAAATAATCCCATTTTAATGTGCTTTAACACTCATTTTATAATATATAATTATTATTATATGATAATATAATATATATTATGTAATTATAAATATATAAGACTAACTAGTCTTTCGCCTATTTTGTTCAGCAAACAACCACAGAGAGTCCAAATCCCAGAGTGATGGCTTAACTCCGGGTAGTGGATCACTTAATCTCTTCAGACCCACGACCAGTTAACACCATGATGGCCACTTGATGGGAAAAAATCATTCTCTTGGCTCACAGTGCCTACAAAGACCCCAAATACTGTAAGCAAGAAAGCTGGCCATCTCTTTTTAATCCAGAAGACAAGAGAGACATAAAATTAATAGTCATTAGAGCACCAAGACAGTTACAGAAAAATAAAACTGATAAGGTTTTCTTTACAGAGAATAGAAAGCCTTTTCCAAGAAAGCTTTGAAATGCTCAAGCTCTTCCTGGAAATTCCACTTCAGTGCAATTAAGTCTATTTTAAGGAAACGCATCGCAGTGCAACAGCTCACCGGCTGAAGTATTTTAAGGAGTTAATAGTCACAGAAATTCACACATGACATTTATACCGTTAGAAAATGGCTACTTAATCCTGCTTCAAAAGCAAGGATGGAAATTAGTTTTAAAGGTCTTACCTGACCAGCTGGAAAGTGTGTTTTATTAGGTTTATAAGGAGTGCTTGAAAGATTGACCGAACACAGCGACACAGTGCTGTGTTTCCATGGTCACACGCACTGGAATTTAAAGGACTTGGAAAGGCAGTCTCCATTTATTATGGGCTGCACTAATACTTTTGCAAGTGTAATTTATTCCCTGGCCTGCTCTCACCATATGCTCTTCTAAGCCTCACATTCCCTTTGCTCTTCTACAAGGAGCCATGTCACGCACCTCCCTCTGTGTGGCCTAGACTGAAGTTTAAAAAACAAACAAACAAGGCTTTTCCAATCCAGGCAGGGAAGAACCCCTGTAATCCTATCGAAGACCAAATTACTGCTTTTGCTTTCTCTCTTTCTCAGCACAGCAATGCCAACAAGCAGCTGCAAGCACTGTATGTGGACATCCCAATTCAGAGGGAATTAAGACGTCTGGTGGAGCCTGACACCCTTATCAGTGCTAAATTTCCACTGTGCCCTGCCTTATCAAGTCCTCCAATTATTCCTGGAGAGATTCGTGGCTGTACACAGAACAGAAAGCATAGAAATTTACTGGATTATTTAGGAGACCGCAGCAATTCTCAGGCTAGCATCTCTAAAATACCGAGTGGACAAGTTTGGAACCAGCTTCTTGTTTCCAAAGGCTGAGCTATCAGATTAAAATACACCAAAATACTTTCCCAAAAACACTCTTCCCGAGGAGTTACCACCGAAATATTTTGCAGCCGCAAATAAGGAGCTGAGCAAAACGAGGTTTGATCTGCAGCAAAGGAAGCATTTGCAGAAACCCTGAAGCAAAAGATGGGTACCTTCAGCTCTACAGCTTACAAGCAGATCTAAGGAAGCCCCTCTGAAGGATGGCTACGGCCGGTGAGCACCTGCCACTGACAGCAAGAAACAGCCACTGGCTTTTAGATGGATGGCATCTTGACAAAGAATGCCATCAGAGATGAAGAAAAGCCCACCGTGGTTCAAAAATAACCCACACTTACAATGGTCTAACCTCACATAAAGGGAGATTAGATCCTTGTGACTTACTAAAACCACCTTTGAGTTTACTAGGGTGCAGCACTACAAGAAGTTTTTCCTGTTGTGGGAGCAGCTGCACAGGAGATTCCTGTGTGGATTCTCCGGAGCCTTGTGAGAGCTGAACTGCATGCAACAGTCCCCTCACTGAGTGTATAAAACAAATTTCCCACTCTTCTCCACAGGCACCTCTTTCTATAACACTTGCTGAAGGGTTAGCATCTTATAAGACCTTGGCTGACATTTTTCAGCAGGTCCAGAAGCTGTTGGAGGTTGTTTTCACAAACAAAAGCCTTTTTTTTTCATCCCAAGTTCTAGATCTGGTTGTTCTGAATTACTGGTCTCTTTCCAGGTGTTCTGCTGCACTTGCGCTGTTTTATTTGAAGATGGAAGTGGTTACCGTTTAAAACGGGTTATCAGGTGTTAATCAAGGTATGTCAGGCCACCAGCCAGGGTGAAACATGCTTTAATTCAGCTCCCACTGCAGAGATCAGCAATCTCCTATTTATAGAAAACATGAAAGTGACTGCAACCTTCCTCTTGCCAAAGAAGCAATTCAGAGACATTGTTTACCCCAAACAGTTGCAATGATAAAAGGACAACAGCCCTAACAACCATGCCAGTGTTACACAACTATTTCTGGTTAATCCCAGCTCACAATCACCAGCAAAAGCCACTCTACTTTCAGGAAGACAAGTTCTCTGGATGCCTCCGCTAATCACAACACATTCTCAAAACTGATCTACAATAGAGTTGTCCACAGAGTGCAAGAGCAAGATACCAATGCTCAGGAGATCAAGTGCCCCATCTGACCTGGGCAACAGCTTTTCCTTACGTTCACAGCTGCTCCTCTCTAAGACAAAGGTAGAAAATGGCCAAACCAAAGCACCGCAACAATCAGCTTCTCTCAGAGAAAAACTGTCTAATTTTAGGATTGTCTTTCTTGTTTCTTCACTGTTGTGCATTTCTGAAAACACAAACAGTTCTGCGTATGCAACTGACACAAAGTTGAAGTTT